TTAAGATGTTATGCCTTTTCTCCTCCAGGAGGACTTTTAAGGTAAATATGAGACTTCTGTTACTTGGTTCTGTGTCTAAGATGTAAAAATCTTCAAGGTAGTTGACAAATACGTTAGATGATAACTCTGGGCTTGACTATGTTAAGAGTTTGTTTCTCCACTAGAATTGGAGTTGCTCCATCTTGAGTTACAGTTGAGTTCTTGGGGGAATATTAGAGAATGAAATATATGTAGTGAATTCTGTCAGATGGCATAATTAGAGTTTAAAATAAATGTTTCGGAAATAAAATGCTCACCTGACTAGTCTAGCTTGGTCTGTTTGACATCTACCGTACCGTTATAATCAGCATTGAAATTACTCTGTCATCTGTAGCAAGTAGGTCTGAAAGCCTACTGAAGAACTGACTGCCGATGCTGCTGCTGTTGCCACGTATTTGTATTTTTATTGAATGATAATGATCATCATAAAACTAAAGTGTGCCTGTCTCTTCAGTGTATCTAAAGGGTGTCTTTCTTTTTCTTAAGCAAATCACTTGCAGATTACACTAAGCACTTCATTATTTCAGTCATTGTTGGAAAGGACCTTGTTGCAAGGTGAGATGGAAATATTTTTAAATTGTTCTTTCAGGGATGTGTTAGATTGCAGAGAATAGGAGGCTTTACTTTCTTCTGTGTGTGTTTAAACAGGTTAAGTATGCCCAACATGGAGGATTTAAAGAGGAGAATAGTGCGAATTGTGGCAAACTGCAACAGACCCAAGGTAACTAAATGCGGTTCCTGGTTGAAAGTCAGTGGAATTGTTAGCAGGGTTAAGCCCCAGCTTTAATGAAGTGACAATTGGTGTGTGTATTTTGATCTTAATGATGAGAGTTACAATTGTGTTTTTGTAGTTGTTTAACCTCGGCCAGCAACTGAACGCCACCCAGCTGCTCACTCGCTCCCTCCACCCCGGTGGGATGGGGGAGAGAATCAGAAGAGCAAAAGTGAGAAAACTCGTGGGTTGAGATAAAGACAGTTTAATAATTGAAATAAAATAAAGTAAAACAGTAATAATAATAATAATAATAGAAGAATATACACAATAAGTGATGCACAATGCAATTACTCACCACCCACCGACCGATGCCCAGCCAGTTCCCGAGCAGCAGTCACCACCCCCTGGCCAACTCCCCCCAGTTTATGCACTGAGCATGATGTCGTATGGTATGGAATAGCCCTCTGGCCAGTTGGGGTCAGCTGTCCTGGCTGTGCCCCCTCCCAGCTTCTCGCTGGCAGGGCATGGGAAGCTGAAAAGTCCTCGACTAGTGTAAGCACTGCTTAGCAACAACTAAAACATCGGTGTGGTATCAACATTGTTCTCATCCTAAATCCAAAACACAGCACTGTACCAGCTACTAGGAAGGAAATTAACTCTACCCCAGCCAAAATCAGGACAGTTTTGGAACAAAAGTATTTGTTTTTAATTCAGTGACACTTGGGTTAGCCTTTTACCCTATAAAGCTGTCTTGTTGGAACTTAAGATTCAACAAGACCTGGAAGATATCCGTGCACAACATCCAAGACCTGAAATGATCTGTTTGCTAGTTTTGCTGATAAAGGAAACTATTAAAAAATGAAAGAAAAACCAAAAAACCCAAACCAGCTAAAATGATGAAAAATCAGTAAAATTACTTACTTTAATAACCATTCAGTATCAGTAAGTAAACAAATTAGTGGTTTTATTTAAATTTTACCTTCAGAATTCATTTGGAAAGCAAGTATTTCTCTCTTATGGTGTTAATTGCTTACCTTTTCTTTTTACTGTTAGAAACAGAGTTTTGAAAGTGCTGGAATAGTTCTTTGTCAGGCAAGATGATACTGGAGGTATGGAGGAGTGGCTTAAAGATTCAAAACTGCCATTTCTGAACATCTAAAATTAAATCTGCTGTACTCGCAAGATTTCCATGTAGTCCCAGGATCAGGAGTTATGTAGAGGGCCTGGGTGATGTCGTAAATACAGAAAAAGATGACAAGACAGTTAGAAGTTACAGGTGCAAGAAAACTTAAATCTGCAGCGCAGAATCCACCCAGAATAATTCAACTGGTAACGACTAATGTTTTCTGTAGTGTTACCTAGTGGCTTGGGTTAGATATCAATGAAATAGATGTTACTGTGGGGAAAATTCCATAAGGAGATTTTATCAAACAAAAAGTTTGGGGAGCATGTGCATACAGTCACTTTTAATCTTTTAATTGTAGTTTCAGATGATGTGCGTGCAAGCACATGACTAGAATAAGTTACTTGAAGAAATGCCAAACCTCAATTTGACTGTTTTTTCTTTCTGAATTCAGTACCAGATTTTGCTGCGTGGGTGTTGGTACGAAGTATTTGGAGGAGATCCAGATAACTTCCCAACTGAGCTGGATGGTAGAAACCACGATGCCCTCACCCAGCCACTTCTAGCTGAGGAGAGTTTAATGGTCCATCGGTCACCTTCGTACAATGCCCTTGAGGATGAATCGCACTTAAATTCACCGCCTCAGTATCCTCATCTATATCTTCCTGGAAAGATTATTCACATTGTAGAAGAATCCAGCTCTAGGAGGTAAGTAGAATAACAAATACCAGTGTCTTGTTTTCCTAAAATCTACTTACAAAGTACACTTTTCCAGCTCTGCTTCTCATCTGCTTCTCCAATACCCATCTTTGGTTATTACACATTAGCTAGCATTTCAGTTTTTATTCTGTGCCTCCCTGCTGCTTTCTGTTTCACTTAAAGCCCTGGGAACTGTTTCTCTTCATGCCTGCGTGCCTTGTTCTGCCCATATGTTGCATGTGCTCAAGTGATGATTTTAAACAGTAAGACTTAAGTTCAGCTCTGGCATGCCACAGTTCCTACCCGAGACTGCAGATATTGCCGTCTTATGTCCTGGTAGTGGTGAAGTGATAACAAAACACCTAGTTATTGAGTAGTCACATGGACATTGGTGATGAGAAGGAGGTAAAATATTGCCCGTAATACTGGCTGGGCCAGACTGGAGAGGTCCAGTCGCACCAGTAACCAGTGTGCCCATGCAGCCTCTGGTTTCCCCTCCTTCGGTGCTTTTTCGTGGACGCAGGAAAGTGAGACAAAGACATCAGAAAAGCTGAAACTGCTGGGAGGGTGAGGATTGTGGTTTAGCTGGGGCAATGTTGTGGTTGGGGGGGGGGGGGGAGGGGGTTTTGTTGATGTTGTTTTTTTAGACAAAACAACCTGAAACAGCCCACAGGCTAGACAGTACTTGCTATCCTCCCCAGTTTCATTCTGAAACAAATAAGAGCATCTGTAACTTGCACAAGACCATCATACAGAAGAAAAAAAAAAAATCTGTACCTTACAGAAGAGGGAAGAAAAGGGCTAGAGAAGAAATCCATTTTTTTTCCTCCCGTTCACTAGATTAGTATTTTATTTAAGCTTCGCATCTTTAACATTTAACGATTTTAATACTGGTTTCACAAGTTAGATACTTTAACACCTGTGACCTGGCAGGTTTTCTCAATGGCTGCTCTTCTTCATTGAGTTCATTTCTTTTCCTTCATTTACTCCGCAGCACAGCAGTTAATCATGTTTTTTCTTAATTGGACTAGCACACAAAGGCCCCCATCCTGTACCGTTCTGTAAAATAAAATCCTAAATACATCATATGTGCAGCATTAAATCTAGTGTCTAGTCTCCTGATACCAGTGTGACTTATTCCCTAAATTTTACATTAACCCTGTGAATGTGCAGTGCTTAACCCCTCATCCCCCTCTGCTCAGACTGTATTTTGTGCTTCTTTGAGCAGGATTGTTGAATAGCTTCTTTCACTGTTAAGGCGCAGTATAATTTGGCATAGTTCTGCCTTCAGGGCCATTTAATGGCAGCGTTTCCAGCTGTTTCCTGAAGGTCAGAACTGTAGCTCTTCGGGCGCCCACCTTCCTGCTGGGAGAAGGTTCCAGTTCCTCCCTGAGCAAGGTCAGAAGTCTCCAGGTTGTCTGTTTCAGGCTTGGCATCTGTTCTGACAGTCTGCTTGTGAGGTGGTCTTTTTTTTTTTTTAGGTTGTGCTCTTCAGATATTAAATATACGGCAAGATGGTCAAATGAAACAGTCTTCAGCAGCATTTTAATAAGTCCCAAGATGATAACGGACCACATGCCAGATGTTGTGCTCAAAGCTCTGAACAGTTTGTCTCAGGAACATGGATCTTGTATTTCTTGTCAAACACGAGAATGTAACACCAATGTAGTGTAACCATCACTCCAAGAAGAGGTGTGGCGTTTTGTTTGGGTTTTTTTAATTGCAGGTTTCAAGTATTTGGGACACAGTCATTCCACTTTCATACTTAAGTGGATTTCAGTACTTTTTATCACATTGCATAAAATAAAGGCCCTAATGCCCTTGCCTCTGCAGCGAGCTCGAGTAGCAGTTTGCTGGTTAAAGCACAGATGCTGCAGTTACGCTGACGGTTGAGCTTTTACAAAATGGAAGAGTGTGACAAGGTCTGGCTAAGCCTGTGTACGCTGGCGCACGAGCGCTGAGGCGTCAGCTGAATACTTGACCAAAATGAGTGCGTGAGCCCAGCTTGGCCTACGCATTGGAGCAGCACCCTGTCAGACCTTAAAAAAAATAAATCCCATTCTGCTTCAAAGTCCCTTTGCGCGGTTGTCTTAGCGCCCTGTGACTGCCCTTTGCAAAGCCTGGAGGGCGTTGTGCGCAAGGAGCGCTATGAAAGCAATGCCGCAGTGCGGGAGGGCTGCGCCATCGCAGTGGCTGGAGGTGGGTAAGTGAACCAGTCTGCGGCGGGCAGCAGTGTGCGGGCGGGCCCCCCCTCCCCACCCCGGGGGGGGTTTAATCGCGCAGTTCTGAGTGATTGCACTATTTTTCTTACAGATTGTGGTAGTACCGTGGGGGGCAGGGGGAGCGTTGTGCTTAAATGCTGCTTGAGCAGACATGTGCAATATTCTTTAATCTACCCGTCTTTTGTATTTGTTGATCCACATGACTACTTTTATTGATTTTAAACTAAACTAATATTATAACTACTTAATGAGAAGAAAAAAAAAAACTGTTCATGCCCTGGCATCATCTTAGTCACTAGGTCTAGCTCTGACTACCGAGCACCTATCTAATTCTGCTAAAAATGTGTAACCAGTTGTACTGATTTTAAAAAAGTGGATTCCTTGTTTTTAGTATGCAACTATTTTAATTTTTTTTAAAAGCTCAGCAGCATTTCTTATTTAAAAAAATTGATAGAAATAAGTAAAAGTACTATGACGTGGTTGAGAATAACCGTGTGAATGTTCTTGCTGTGATACTTAATATGGAGACAAAATAAAATGCACTCTAAAAACCTGTCTTTTTATGTTCAGGTATGCTGGGTGCGACAAAAGTTACTAGTTTATAGCTGTTGCAATAGCTAGACGCTGCACAGCAAGGTAAGTCACCACCAACAGTGGAAGGCCTAGGGCCTGCTGCCTCCTCGAGCAGCTGGCAGTGGTGCTGCTTTCAGGGTACCGCAGTGTCACCCACCACCTCCCCGGGAACGAGGCTAGCCCCTGGGGAGAGGGGCAGGGCAGCAGGCTCGCATGCTGCTACCCTGGAGACAGCTTATAGCATGGCTGTAATTTTAAAAGGCTAAAAGCTGAGGCATTTAAGCACAAACCGTACTGTGCCAGAGCCGCCATTTTACAAACCGTTAAAGTAAGTTAACTGTTTTAGAAGAAAAACATTTTGTTTGCACACAATAGAATGAAACAGGTATTTTTTCCCCTGGTTGTCAGCAGCTTTAAAACATTGCATAAGCAGCAGCGGGCACTAGTTAATAACTCAAATGTATTTAATTCTGGTTCTTAACGTCAGGGCACCACTGCAACAGCCTGAGGAGACAAGTACACCACGCTGCCATTGGCATTGGAAGAAGAACATTTACTCACAGTGGTACAAGAACTGCTCAGAAACTCAAACGTTCCCACACATGTGATTCAAGGATTTATTAAGTCATACATGCAAAACATACTGCTAATTGCATTAGCAAAAGATCAATGTAAAAACTTCACCATTTTGCAACTTTTATTTTTAAGTTTTGCTTTAGTGGTTGAAAGGCTGTCGTTCCACATTGTATTCCTGCCAGTTTAGGACGTACAGAACATTAGCACTAATTTACAGAACCTCACAGACCCAAGTTACCATTACTTAATCTATGCTGCACATGTACATGTAGTGACATAAAGAAGAACACTTGTCTGCAATTAGTAATGTTACAGTGGTGGGGATAGCTGGCAAATAGTGATAGTTGAGAAGGTTTATAGAGGTTTAAAATATAAAAATTACCAAAATGTGTAAAGCTGCTTCACATGATTTTTACACCTAGTTAATAGCCTAAAAGCTCCTCAGAAAGCATATAACTTACTGGATCAGAAAATACAGGAAAATCGATCGGGAGGATATGCTTGAACATTCTACTCTAATTAAAAAAAAAAGCGAGCAAATTTCTATCATCAGAAAGGTTTTAAAATACAAGTTATATTGCTCAGTAAGAAAAGATTCTACAACAAAAGCATTTACTACACAACAGTTGTGGGAATGACTGGTTCAAAGTTGTACCTAAATGAATGCCTTACTTGAAACGCAAAGGAATTTACCTATGAACACCAACCTCTCTTCCACTACTGCACCTCTGGGAAAACGGTGACCGATTTCAGCCTCACTAGAAGTCAGTTCAGTTTCAGCTACTCTGGCAGTGTTGTGTAAGTCATCTGTACAGTGTCAAAATCCTGCCTGGCACTATCATTTGACCCAACCCAGTATTTCATTTATCCATCACAATACAACGCTGTCAAAAGGACTAGATACACTTCAGTAAGAATAGTTATTTATTTATTTTTTTCAATCACAGCAGCAAGAACTAGATTGCAACCGAGCCCTTACCAACGGTAAAGCATTTTACACTGTGACTCGAGGGTGTCAGTCATTGTCAGAGATGTCGGTTCGATATACAATGCTGTGCAATGACTGGGGGTTGAGAAAACGTTTAATAGTAAAACGCATTAGAGTGCAGTGTTCTGCTAATTATACAGTACTGTTACTGTGAAAAACTAGAAAGTGTTTTTGCATTTCCTACCAGAAATTAGAGTCATCTTCAGGAAGAATCTTTAAAAAACAGTTTAGTGCTTAGTGTTTGTAGCACAACGCAACTTAGTTCAGCAGATAGTTTGGCAACGCTTAATTGAGCAAGAATAGGATTTTAAAAATAAGGCTTTACATAGGTTTGTCTTTTCAGGAGTTTGCTTTTAGAAGAACGCAAGGTAACTTTCATACTTTAAACAAATGAAACCGTGAAATTGTTGATTGGTTCAAGAATTTATGGAAGAGAACTAATTTATAACAGAAAAACTTGGCATTGAGTGTGAATGCTCCATTGTTTGAGCAAAGCACAGGGTTTGGAGTGGGTGGGGGAGGGTAACGTTTACAGCAGCAGGCATTTTCTCTTCCTCTTCTTTACAGGAGGGGGGCACAGAACTGCTCGGATAGCTTCATCAAACACTGTCTTGAGGCCTCGCTGCGTAAGTGCTGAGCATTCTAGGTACTTCACTGCACCTGTGGAAAGCAAAAAGGCAAATTACAAAGCAGTTTTCCACAGTTAGAGCAGCACTGCTTCTACCTAACTCCACAAGAAAAGCCAGGCATTTATTTTAATTAAGGTACACCACCTTCCACAAACAAAATTTAGATCAAGTCAACAATAACCCCGTTGCCTTCATACCGATCTCTTTTGCCATGGCCAGGCCCTGTGGGTAGGTGATAGGAGTCAGCTTCTTCTCCTTCAGTTTTTCAATAGTGTCCTTATCATCCCGGAGATCGAGTTTGGTACCCACTAAAATGATGGGGGTGTTGGGGCAATGGTGCCGCACCTCAGGATACCACTGCGAAAAGAACAGCGTAGGTTGTGTGTGCGGGCAGAGTTCCATGAAGGCTCTCAAACGTTATGACTGAGAGGCTCAGCGTCCTTCACAACACTTTCAAGAGTCAGTCAAGGAGCAAAGGGGAGAACGCAAGACCCCGTTAAGGCAGTATTAAAAAAAAAGAGCATACAATTGCAAGACATTTTTAATGAAGCCAACAGGCAGTTCCATATACTTTAAAAATTTATCCTATTAAGGGCTGTCTTTTCTCCACACACCAGAAAAGCCCTGATCTGCACTTCCCCCACCCGTGGGACCACCTCTCGTTTGTGAAGTCTCCACAATGCCATACAGCCGAGTTGTCCGAGGACATGAAAGACTGCAGCAGTAGCAGAGCACGTGCTAGAATGCTGGCTGACCCAAGAAACAAGTGGTATCCACCTAATTTTTACATGCTTTTGTTTTTTAATATTTTTCTTTAAATTGCATTAAAAGGAAAATTCCTGTCTGTGATCTTAGCACCTTGTTGGCCAAAAACTCTTAAGCTACAGTTATCCTATCAATGCATCAAGGAACAAGTCATACTTGGAGTGTTTCGCATGCCCTGAACTTCCACGACTTACAAGTTAGGCAAATGGATTTCTGCCTTTTCAAACTACATTTCACACTGCCTGCCAAAAAAAAAAATTAAAAAACCCACACACACCTAATATTTTCCAGACACTGCTGTAAAGTGAACACTATGTTGAACCCTGAGAAATAAAGTGATACCAGCTTTACTTACCTTAGCACGAACATTTTCAAAGGAAGCAGGACTCACAAGGGAAAAGCAGATTAAGAAGACATCCTACAAAACAAGTTGATAGAAGTTAGCCCAGCAGAGCAACCATTGTGAAATCTCATCACCATGAAAAGGCCAATATCACCAGCATCTGTATCACACCGCCATCTATATCACACTTTCAAAAGGCAAGGTCGACGACACAGTTGCACGTGACAATCAGAGGTAGCTTTCCCAGTGGGAAATCCATTCCCAGGCAGCTACAAGCAGACACAAAAGGGGGGAACCAACAACAAACAGATTGTAATCAAGTTTATAATCAGCTATTGCAGTAGCCAGCAACTAAAACGCTAATACCATTGCATTGCAAGCTTTTTTTCCCTAAATGTCATTTCTTCTCCCTCACTGACTGTCAGGAAAAAAAACAACAAAAAGAAACCAAAACACCCCACACTTCAGATCCTTGATGAACGCCGTTAGACTGGCTTCTGAATTGGGGTTGTACGCTCTTTGCAGACCTCTAAGTGATTTAACCCTGGAAAGACATGTAACTCGTAGGATGATGCAAAGTGTTAACCGTTGGCACCGATTTTTTTAAATACGAATATACTATTAATATACTACTCTAAAGTAGTCTTAAATTGCAAAGGCAAAGTATACAGTATGGAATTAAAAAAAAACATACAACGATAATTTCTACAATTATTACGTCCATGCCCAAGTCAGAAGAATCTTGTAGAACTGTCACTTCTACTGAATGTCAGTATAAAAAGATTTCAGCATTTCTCTAGAAACAAATTAGGATTGAGAAGGTATTAAAAACCTTGAAGCTCCCTCCTTCCCTTTCTAAGTTATGAGAAAGCAGAAAGAAAAGTGGTTTTCAGGGATCTTGCATATCTCGCTTTTCAATTGAAGGCAAAAGAAGGATTGTAAGTAAGAGCAGGTAAAAACATTTTTGAGCAATGCTACACTAACTGCCACGCAGCATACTTCAAAAAAGTGTATGAGCTTCATACACGACACTCTAGTCTACAATCATTCAGAATAACCACAAAATTAATTTTCCCTGTCTAACCAGGTGAAGATCGTAATCTTGCTGTATGACCCAAAACTCAGTAAGTATCTCTCAAACCAAGCCCAACTTTCCCCAACCTACCTCTGCATCTGTACTTATTCTGGTATCAAATGTGTTAGAATCGGGCGTTTCAGAATGTTAGTTGATTGTGCTGCATTTCAAGGCATTTTGTTAGGTCAGCATCTGACACCTGCACTGCTAAGCACTTGCAACCCAGTTGTTCATGCATCACCCCAACAAGTTTCCGTAGCAGCGTCCCAGAAGAAGAAAGAAACAACATGGAATAACGTGATACTATGGCCACTACTTCTGTTTTCCAATTCTGCAGGTTTGTGGTGACTGAAGTTTGCACATTACGCAGACTCTCTCCTTTACTACCTCCAGAGATCAAAAAATTCAGTGTAACTGTGAGGAATTATTTGAAGATTTCAGGTGTCTTGCACACTACCAATCTTAATAAGTAGGAGGAAAAACTCTTTATTTGCAAGAAAAGGTTTAGTCTTAGCAAGTCTTTGGTAACAGAGTTCTCAGATCTAGCAATTCGATAGTTCCAAGAGAAGTAGTTGTTTAAAAAATAGGGGCCAATTTATC